GCAAGTCTGCATTAGGGTAGCCTATAGACTGCATGTCCAGGCCAGATAGATGAGTTAGTTAGTGGCCAGAATATTAATGTATTCAACTCTGACTCAGATAATTTTCTGATGAGCATGCAAGTCGTCCTTATTCGTATTCTTCTGATATTAGGTCGGTTTCTAAGTTAGACATCGCTCTGAAAAAGCATATACAAGTTTTGAGTGCCTTCGGAAGTTTTTACGGACAGTGGAAGAGTGTCTCCTATCCTCAACTGTTCTGATCAGTTTCCGTGATAACGCTAATGGTATAGCGGCAGGCCTGTACAGCAACGGATTCGACCAGCTTCAGTCTTGTTCTCGTCACGCTACGTTCTCGGTTTTAACGCAGCTTAATGTAGCAAGCTCATCTGCTTAGATGTCCCCTTTTCGGTATATATACATTTGATTTTCCCTCTCTGCAGTGATAGTTAGCTTTTTCATAATATTAATAGACAAAAATTATTGCTTATATCTTGTGAATATTTGTAACATTTGGACATAATTTTGGTTTCTTGCGATACCTTAAAAGTGTCTCGGCACCGCTCCTCTCTTTTTCCTAGTGTGGGACTACCTTATTGGTTGTCTTTAGGGCAATAAATGATCCGATTCTATGGAGTTCTATGCTTAGTGATTCCGAATCGTATTTTCTGTGCTTTACAATAGGGCATTGGGTGAAGGAGGTATGTAAGTAAATACCTATTTTTCCCTATGATTAATCCATGTCACCTTACATTACCACATATTCTTCCTTTTGTCATCCAGCTTCCTAGGCTAATTCGTTGTTTGATCCTGGGATCCACTGATTCGACAAGCGTAAAGCTTGCTCAGGTCTTCCTATCCTCTACGCATCCTCTTCCAGATGTGTCCGAGGACCCGGCAACGGATGACTGGAACTCACTTGATGGCATTTTCTCGTTACTTGAAGAGGCAAGTGAGGTACATGAGGAGGCTGGAATTAGGACTGACCAACTTCAGCTTAAAGCCTCTTGGACCCGCCGGTTCTGTCTCTACCAAACCAACTTCTATCCAGTCTATTTGCAGCTCCGATATCCCTTAATCTTCGGCCTCGAGGTCATCCTTACGATTCGACCCTACTACTCCGCCCTCGATCGACTCATTCAACGATCCCTTCGAATTAGCCTCGAGCCGATGACAATTCAGTCGACCCACCAGGCAACGAATGATTTTCGGCTCCATCTTTCTTCTCTATATTCAGTTGATGGAGTCAGATTGCACCAGACAATTTCGATTGATGCAGTGACCCAAAGCCTATTGGCTGACTGGCGGAAGGATGCTTCTTCGGAAGTGGGGACGATTCTCTCGCCACGTAGGGGGGACACCAGCCTATTGGTCAGGCTTCCAGAAGCCAGTTTCCGGCAAAAAACTCGCGTTGCTAGACTGGTCTGTGAACATTCCACGGCTCCGTTCACTTTTGAGACGACGCAACTTGCCCCGGAAGGTCCCTCTTTGGACGCAAGTGGTGTGGAAGTGGACGCGGTGACCGGTTGGGTGACTACTCTGCCCTCATCCAACTCAAGGCTGAGTGATCAGGCCACCTGGTCAAAGTGGGTCACCTTAACTCCTAGATCCTTCTATCGTTTTGGTGTCCGTGCTGTCGGTCGACAAAAGACTTCGTCGCCAGGTGCCTCAGGTGGATCTCTCTGTCAGGCTGAGTTGGTGTTTCTACGACAGCGGACAAGAGCAGAGTCCATCAGTTCCGAGGAAGTCGAGATATCTCCTCTAGACGCCTGGACGACAGTCAGTTCGATCTGCCAGGTTGATCAAGATGAGCCCAGTAATCGCCAAAGTAAACTAGCGGATTCTGTTCTTTTGGCTGTCCGGCCGCCCTGTCCGAGTCTATCCAAAGTCAGGTGGAGGAGCGAAGAGACTTCGGCGATTCTTCTACAGGCGATAAGGTCAGCTGAAGTCTGCTCACACGAGTTTACTTTTTCCCACTTTGAACACTCTCGAGATGATGTTTCAGGTCAGGAGGGCTCCTCGGAATATCAAGAGATTATTCTTCTCCAGTCAAAAGACACGCCTAGAAGCCACTGTCTACGTCACTACCGTCGAACGACGTCCGAGAAACGCAACTTCTTTGACTCTTTTTCCTGGCTTCCCGTGGCCGATGCTAGACTGTGGCCCGAAGACTATCAATTCAGGCAGTCTCGATTGGTAGAACTAAACTGCTGGCATAAAGAGCCCTCGACATGGCTGGCACTGGCCGAGTTGACTAGTCGTCATGGCTCCGTCTCAAATGCGTCCTCGGCTGCATCATCTGCTCTCTTCTCGGCGTTGGCACCGGTTTCCCTGGCAATGCTGCACGATAAGTCGAGAAATACAGCAAATCGGTTCTCTGTACACGTTCTCACATCCGAAGACCTGCCATTGGGCGATCCGGGCGAGGCTACGGCTCGTCTCATCGCTCTGGACGAGCATCGCCTGTTGGTGTTAGTACAGGCCAGGCATCTCTCCGCCGGAGCTTGGTACCAAGTGGTCGTGTTGTCGCGGCTGGCCCCGATCAGCCGAACCAGGCTCTTCTGCCGCTGTCTGCCCATGGGGATGAGGCCAACTGGGCGACGTGGCAACCGGCTGGGACTTGTGGAACAACCAATTGGTCTCGACGCCTCGAACCGGCTGACCGAGATTTGGCTTCAGGTTGACAGAGCGACAGCTCTCGGCGGCTATCTTGGCAACTGGAGGCGTCTTCTGCCAGACTTCAGCTCTTCTCAGCTGACTTTGGCTGTTCAGCCTCACTTTCTGCAAGTCAATTCTGACGGCGCAATATTCACCAATCGGTGGATCCCCGGCACCTCCAGACAGGAGGACAGATTGGTGCTGTCGTCGGCCAGCCATAGCAACAGGACAAAGCTGTTTCCGCGTCACATTCTTGAGATACCCGTTTTTATTGTCGGCTTGGCAGTTCCTTCGGAAAGTCCGGCTTGTGAAGTCGACCTCGACGTGCCGGATGCTGGCAACGCCGACCGCCTGAGGCTCTTTGCCCTACTTCCGGTTGAAGTGGCCAATTTCGATGTCTGGACGCGTCGTCCAGACGACGCCGATGGCCGCCTTGTCTTCGACCTGTCCGAGAGGCCGGGGCGAGCCGAGGCCGATGCGGATCTCTGCGTCTGGAGGCCCCAGCTTCCCGGTCTACTGTTGCTACCTGACTGTCGTGTCTACACGCTGCCCGGTGCCTTGGCTCCGGCCGATATTCGCCGTCGTACCACAGGACTTGAGTTTGACACCCGACTACGTCGACTTTCCGGCCAGCCTGGCAGACGAGCCTCAGAATCTCGTCTGTACATCCGTTTGAATCCGCTTCAACTGG